GCCAATGCCTGTACATTAACAAGATTTTTAAAAATAAAATTGTATAAAACATTTAATTTATTGGTCTTTTTGGGGAATTGGATGCATCATCAGTGTATTACAACTGAGCCATTAATCTTGTAGCTTCGTCAACATTAACTGGTTCGTTTTCCTGGCACTGCGGAGGAATCTGGAGGGAGAAAAGCATTATATTTAAAAATTTAGATAACAGTGGCTATCTAACAAAAATAGGTAACAACATCTACATTAAAAATTTAGAGGGGGCCAGCCCAGTGGCGTAGTGGTTAAGTTCACGTGCTTTCGCGGCCCGGGGTTCACAGGTTCGCATCCCAGGTACGGACCTAGCACCGCTCATCAAGCCACACTGTGGAGGCATCCCACGTAAAATAGAGAAAGACCGGCACAGATGTTAGTTCAGCGACAATCTTCCTCCAGCAAAAAGAGGAAGACTGGCAACAGATGTTAGCTCAGGGCCAATCTTCCTCACACAAAAAAATTTAGATACAAAAATGACATATATAATCCATTATCCAATTTAATTTCTCCTAGTCATACATTTGGAAGTAGAACAATAAATTCTCCTAGTTGGACTCAAAGGTTTAGAGTCTGAACATGACTGAATAGGCTCTGCATCCTTCATAGCCAGGTATCCTAGAGAGCCAGGCACTAAAAACTACATGCAACTTACAGGCCTTGAAAATCTGGAGTTTAATTTATTAGCTATAACAAAAGGATATGATTTGTACTCACCAGCTGTTTCTGCAGAGGCTCAAGGGAAAGGCATCTCGAGAAATGTGCAAGTTCCTTTTGTATATCTACAAAAGCTTTATTCATTCTGTTCACTTTTTCATCATTCACAATGTTTATCTTTTAAAAAAGAAAAAGAACATTAATTCATCATCTTATAACCATTAGCGATAAAACATATTCTACCTTAATTCAACCTTGATAAACCAAAAGATGTAAAAACTCTTTTATCCCCCTACCAATCTGTGGGGATAATTCACACTAAAATTCTTAGACTCCTAGTGGGAAATTTCACACACAAGGTTCTGTTTCCTGTTTGTCCTGCTGGTCCTAAACCATTTCTCCTTCAGAACGCTCAGCTCCTTTGCACCTCAGGCATCAGGACATTCTGACATCCCTTTCCTCATACTGTCCCCTGCCAACACCATCATACTTGCTCCTCATGAGAGATCTCAAACCTTGGCTCACTGACCTCAGGCCTGGCGTCACTGCTTAGCAGTTTCAACAGAAATCTAATCCTACGGCCTCTTAACCCTTCAGGTCTCATCTCATCTCCAAAGATCCTTTCCACCGCGCACCTCAGCCATCCACTCCCATGGGTTACGTTAGGCTGCATCATTACCTGTAACTAACTGCTCCATCTGTCTTTCTAGTTCACTTAGTTTATTGACAATTCTCAAATCTCACTGAAACCTTTTGCCACCAATTTCACTGTTTTTCACATCTTCACTTTTTCCTTTAAAAGCCACACAGATTCCATGGCCATCATTTCATCAATCACTTCTTTACACTCTCTTAACCTTCCTTCTCTCCCCTCCCTTAATCGAACTCGCCTGGCAACCTAGTCAAACTCAATTTGCATCAGCCTTTTCTGAACCTAAAACTGAAGCTGTAGAAAATCATAACTGGCCCACTGGCTTCACTTGAAATTCATGACCACAAACTTCAATTTACCATTTCTGTAGTGCTTGGTGACCTTACAACCTCCCCCTAGTAAGTTAGGCTACTTTCTGAGAAGATTATTTGATCCTTTCTCCAACCAGGCTGCCTACCCACAGATCTCCCTCTCTTAGAGCTTTTTCATTAGCATCCACAAAGCTTCTAGTACTTACTATGGAAGCAATCTTCCCCGAAGACGCCAAGCTCTTCCCTTGCCTGGGGCCTCCGCACTTGCTATTCTCTCTGCCTAGAACATGCTGCTCCCAGCACTTCCCAGGTCTTTGCATTTCCAGCTCCTTATCATTCAGATCTTGGCTTCACTGTTGACTTTGAAGACAATTCTATGTAAAACTGTCACTCCCAAACTCGGCTCATGTCACCCCTTTATTTCCTTTATAGCATTTGCAAAGTCATAAAAGCTGAACTCAGCTAGGTCATGAAAACTGAACAATAAACTGTTACATTTCTATGGACTGCTATGATAATTACTAAGTCATGGAGAGCTGACTCCACCTATGACTTAAACTTGAAAACATTTTCTTAAAGAATCTACTTAATTGTGATCAAGAAATTTCCCATTTCCTAAATGTTTTGAAATAAAAACAAAGGAGATAAAGAAACTCCTCTCTTTTCAAATGTTGCATTTTAAGAAACAAAATATTTTATCTTCATTTCACAGATTTCTGTCTCAGTTTTACATATCTTCAGAGAAATAAGAATTCTGAGGTGAAAAAGAATGGGTGCTGACTGACATTCCAGGTCTTGGCTGTGTTAAGAGGTTCTTAAATATATTTGAGTTCAGAGCTAAGAACTGTTTTCCATAGCATGTTTTTTTATGATTCCTATGCTCTGACATAACTATTAAACTGTTATTTGGAGTCTCACATATTTGCAGTTAAAATGCTTTTTACTTTTCATACATTTGGATTCAAGAAAGGGAGGCTTTTTGTCTTTTTTTTTTTTTAAACAAACATATAAAATCATCTTCCCTTTGTAGGAAAGGCTAAGAACCTGTTTTAAAGAATAGCATCAGCTTTTCAGTAGCTTTACTATCATGCTTTGCTTGTAAACAATAAAGTTAGAGTACTTTAATACTCACCTTCTTAAGATTAGTGGTAACGGGTTTTGCTTTATTTTTAACCTTGAAGTTTTTTTGGCTGGCTATGTGAAATACATTCCTGGACTTCTGCCCTCTTAGTTTGTTCTTGGCCATTGTCTAGGAAAGAAAGAAAAGGAGCTCAATTAGGCTGCCCACCTTTATGAACTATAAATCAACTTAAGTTTTGAAAATAAAGGTACCAGTTAAATCTACAAATCCCATCTTACTTCTAATTATTTCTAAGGTTGCTGCACGCATTGAATTATTTCCACATCTTCTGCCTCTTCTAGATTTCCTGCTGTTTGATGTAGTGTCTATCTAACCCTCCTCTGCATCTCCAGCACTCAGCCCACAGCGGGCACCCAGTCACTTTTGCTGCTCGAGCTCATCAATTAATCAATCCACACAATTTCTTTTCCAGCTCTGTCAGCATCCGACCATGTTAACTGTCAGCAACTATCCCTCTGCTAATGACATACGACTGTACCATTCTGGTTCCGAGCAGACTCCAGGACGGACTCTGTCTCCTTCCTTCTTTTTCATTCCCTTTTACTTGCCCCACTTTCTCTCCCGTGTGCATGCACCTCCTCTAAATCAGTCCTTAGTCCTGCACTTCCTACCTCCCCCTCTCTGTTAAATTACTTTCACAACTTCCATAATCACCTCTATGTGAATGGCTCTTGCCTTCAAACTTCAGATGTCCTCTTCATTCTATAGCTAAACACACACTAAGCTTGTAAATTCTACCTTAGAAACATCTCTCAAATCTATATTTAACAATGCATGTGAGGAACAATTTTAAAAAATATTAACCGTTAAGATTTATTGAGCTTTGACTATGTGAACACTGTGCTAAGATTTTACGTGCTTTAACTAATTTACTGGGAGGTATTATTTTATCTCCACTTTACAGATCAAAAAAAACGAACGCAAAGAGAAGTGAATTTGCCCAGTGTCACAATGTTAGTAATCAGGGAATGCCAGGATTCAAAGCTAGGCAGACTAGACCCAGAGCTCACATTACGTGATGATACAGCCTCTCATTCATGAGTAAAAATGCAATACAAAAACATGATGTCCGGGTCACTGCGATAGTCCCTAGGACTATTTGGTTAGACCATGGGTTGGGGCCAAATATGCACATGGACCAAATAAAGTCAGGCACTTGTCTTTGTAAATAAAGTTTCATTAGGACACAGCTACCTATACATATTGAATTATTTTCTATGGCTGCTTTCCTGCTACAACTGTGGCCCGCAAAGCCTAGATTTCCTATCTAGCCCTTCCCAGAAAGATCGCCAACCCCTGACTTAAAGTCACCCGCGTTCCAGGCTGTGCTGCACAGCGCTGTGTGAAGAGCCTCCCGAGGGTGAAGACCTCCAGCGGCTCTTCAATGCCTAAGGAGCAACACGCTTTGTCCCGGCATCCCGCATAAACCTGTCAATGTATCTGCTCCCTCCCTATACACCCCAGCCTCGTCTACCATTTGTTTTCGGAGACACTTTGTACATTCGGCCTTTCTTTCCTTCGCTCACATTGTATCTCCTGACCGAAACCTATATCCTCCTGCAACGTCTAGCCTTCAGGAAACTACTTAACAGAGCCAGCAATGCTTTTGAACCCCAACACCACTTCCACTTAAAAAAACGAACACAGTAGAAAATCCACGATTACAAAAGAAGTAGAAAATACACATAATAAATCCCCTCAAACGCAGTAATCCAAAGTCCTTCCAAGAGTACCCCAAATGCTATCACTCCTCTGTGCACGAGTCAACCACGGTGCACCAGCTGCGGTGCGGCGCGGATGCGCACACCCGTGAAACGCGCAGGCGCGAGACGCACGTGACGGCGCCGGGACGGACAGCGCACGGCGGGGACGCTGCGGGAGGCCCGGGGAGCGGGACCGACCAGGGGGACGGGATCCAGACACCACAGACTGACCACGGACCCGCCGAGGGCCGAAGGCCGTGCAGGGACCGGGCTCCGGCTGGCCTGCACGCGCCGCCGCCGGAGCCACCCGAGCACCAGGCCCGGGCACGAAGCCGTCCGCCCCGCCCCGCGCGCTACACTCCGGCCCTCCGGAGGACGTCCTTACGTACCCCTCACCGGACCCGCGGACCCTCGGCCGCCCCTCCGGTTCCCGGGGACGCCCTCCGCACGCAGCCGGCCAGGAAGTTCCGGAAGGAGGGAGCCAGTCAGGAGTCCTCACACGGGCCGCAGTCCCGCCCGCCGGGCGAGCCACGCCCACAGGCGGAGCCGCATCCATTGAGCGCAGGCTCCAGACGGAGAAGCCACGCCCACCGAGCGAGCCACGCCCACCGAGGTGAGTCGCCTCCATTGAGCTCAGGTCTACACGGAGATAAGCCCCGCCCACAGTCGGGAGTCGCTCCATTGAGCACGGGCCTACAGGGAGATAGGCCCCGCCCACTGATAGAGCCACGCCCACCGAGCCGAGATGCCATTGAGTTCGAGAGGTAGACAGAGAAAAGCCACGCCCACTGGCAGTAGCCCCGCCCACGGAGCGGCGTCGCCTCCAACGAGCGCGCGTCCCAGGCGGAGGCAAGCCACGCCCACCGGCCGTAGCCCCACCCACAAAACGTAGTCCCTCCGCGAGGAGGTTCCCATCCACCGAGCGTAGTCCCGCCCACGGGGCCAACCCTCGACCGCAGAGCCCGTCTCCCGAACACGGCTAAGCCCCGCCCACAGGGCTAAGCTCCGCCCACCACGGGAAAGCCCCGCCCCGTTGGCATCGCTTGCTGGGCTCGGGGTTGCGGGCGTCCGCAAGGCTCCCGCGAACTGGAGGCTCGGTTTCCCGGGGCGGGCGCGGGCACGGAGCCCCCGCGGTGTCGGAGCCGTCGGGGCCGTGGAGGCCGTGGCGCGAGTGCCCGGCCCTCCGACCCGCTCCGGCAGGGGGTCGCGAGCCCGCGGCTGGACCGCATCCCGGGCCGTGACGGAAGGGACATTTGTCGGGAGCGGGGGTGGCACGGCTCTTCTCCCTGTGCTTTCCTTGCTTCAGAGAGGGAGCTTCTCACAGCGCGGCGGAGGCACGAGAAATAAGAGAGGTCGTAGAACAGGTATCAGGGAGCTTAGAAACACTTGGAAGAAACGTTTTTGCCTTCCGGTTGTGTGTCTGTGTGCATGTTTCCCAGTAAGACGTTCTGGGTTGAGTTTTCTAGAAAACTGACTCAATTCGTGCAGGGGGATGATGTCTCCATTAAAGTGACAGTGTTCACATGTTTTTCTACTTATTTTGTTGAGGTCATTGGAAAAGTCAGATTTTAAACAAATGTAGACGGACTGACATTTATTATCATCATTTTGTATCATTTTGTAACACTCCGCTCTGAGCATCGAAATAAGGCCATAACACCGCTCCCGTTTTGCAAGCGAGGATGCTGCTAAACCTCAGAGTTTAAGCCGTCTGCGGGTATCCACACAACGGATAATTGACAAAGCCAAACTAGAATCGTCGGTCTGACCCCCGGGCACGCGCTCTTTCGCCAGGTCAGCCCCTTGCCTGCTTCTGGAAGGATGGGCCGCTTTTACAGGAAATCGTCTTATTATGTTTATGTCCGCCACAAAAAATTATGGGATATATTAAGGAAACGGGAATGATTACTTGTCAATGTATTTTTATTCAATTTTGTATTTTTTCTAAAGAGTGACTTTTAGAAAACACCTGAGAATGCTAGTTTAAAATGCCCGTAATGTGTGCAGGCAATCCCAAAACAAAACCAAAGCTACAGAAAACCATTCGATTCTTCCCCAAGGCCGGTTATCCACGAATACGGAGGCAAATGAGACAGGTATAATTATGGTTCCTCAAATGTGAAGTTACTGATGTATATGCCGAAGTCAAAAAAATAGCTGGAGTGACATTATAGTGTTTATGAAATATATGGGCCTACTGTTTATTTTGAAATGGTGAGCTAGAGATGCATGCACCAAAGAAACGGTATGTTTATACCAGCAAGAGCAGAGGCTCTTATGATGTCTGAGTGAGGAGGCAAGGATTTCCATTTTACCTCTGTCCCCAACCACAGTGTGACCTGGAAAAGTTGCTTCGTTTCACTGGGCCTCCCTTTCCCATAGGTAGATGGCCATCAGAGAATATACCCACTTCAGAGAACATTCATTATTTGCAGCGTCCCTTTGTTTTTTTTTTTAAAGATTGGCACCTGAGCTAACATCTCTTGCCGATCTTCTTTCTTTCTTTTTTCTTCTTCTCCTCCCCAAAGTCCCCCAGTACGTAGTTGTATATTCTAGTTGTAGGTCCTTCTGGCTCTGCTATGTGGGACACCGCCTTGGGTGGCCTGATGAGCGGTGCCATGTCCCTGCCCAGGATCTGAACCCGTGAAACCCTGGGCCGCAGAAGCAGAGTGCGTGAACTTGACCACTCGGCCACAGGCCAGTCCCTTAGCACCGCTTTCTGGGGAACCCCTGTCCTCCCATTAAGTGGTCCTGGTTGGGTGGCTAATTACCGTCCTCTCTAAAGATTTTCTGCCTAGAGCTAGTGGAGAGTGCTGTCTTTTGCACTTAGTGTCTTTGTGCTGGGCTGATGTGAAACCCAGACTACTAGCAGCTGTCTTCTCCAGCAACTTGCAGGAAGCTTGTCTGCTGTGGGAGAATGCGGGGAGCATGACACAAAAGAAAACAGAGCTGAACAATAGAATACAGGACCCTGAGGCTGTCGTTTGAGTCTTTGGATTCAGCCGTAGGCGCAAGAGAGACCCATTCCTGGACTTCTCAGTTACCTGAGCTAAAACAGTGTGGAGTTTTTTGGCTTAAACTATCTTGGGTCTTTTTCTTTTTAAAACCACTCCTAGCTGAAAGAGTCTTAAGTCTACTCCTGTCCAACCGACTTCACAGGATTATCGTGCAAAGTTAAGAAAATACAAAACATGAAAGCATAAGGGATTACTAAGACAAAAGAAAGAAGCATGGTAATTTTCTAAAACCCGTTTACCTGTGAACTAAATTAATCCTATATATACAAAGAACTATATATATATCTAAATAAAAAATAGCTTTGAGTTTACTGATCTTTAAAAATGCATGCAAATATCATATGTCCAGGTTTTCTAACAATCTTAAAGATGAATAAATCATTAATGGAAAAAACATCTTTTGGAAACCTTAGTTTCCTTGTCGAGACTCAGCAACGGAGAGTTCTTTATACAGACCTGCTCCTCACAGAACTGTCTTGGAAGCAATTCAACCAGTCAAGAAAGATCATTAGGGAGAAGAAGAAAATGAGAGCACACATAGATAATTACAAACCATCTATAACAAAACTCACAGCTCTCTGCTGGAACAAAGCCAGCCTTGTATAGACATTCTTCATAATAAACTTGCTTCCTCTATTCAGCCTTTTCTCCCCACCACTCAGTTTCACTCAGTGGAAACAGTTTGAACACAGGCTCTGTGGGAGCTCAAAGGAGTACGCAACCATTTCTTCTTAAAGAGAGCACGGTCACCTGGCCAGACAGATGCATGCACACGAAATGATTATTCTTGACAGAAAGTACTAAGCACTATGATAAATGCACCAAAATGTGCTAGTAATGGAAGGAAATAATTCTGAATTCTGGAAACATTCATGTTAAAGTTCTCATCTGATTGTCTTAGAGCAGAAATCGAGAAACTGCAGCTCAAAGGCTGGATCCGGCCCACTGCTTATTTTTGTAGGGCCCATGAGCAAAGAATGGTTTTACATTTGAAAATGACAAAAAAATCAAAATAAGAACAACATGCTATGACGCATGAACATTTTACTGAATTCGTATTTCAGCGTCCATAAGCACACTTTTGCTGGACACGGCCACGCTCATTTCCGTGTTATCTGGGGCAGCTTTCACGCTACAATGGCAGAGTCGAGTAGTTGCAACAGGGACCATGTAGCCTGCAAAGCCTGAAATATTTCCTGTCTGGCCCTTTACCAGTTGTACAACTTTAGAAAAACGTGAGTAAGCCATCTTAGGAGAAGAGCAGCATGGTGGCGTAATTGGTCGACTTACTGTTTTATCCTCAAAGCAATAGGCTTGAAAGAATGGAAGGCGCTTTTCCTTCCAGCTTTCTCAGACTGCTAAACCTTTACATAATGAGTTTGGCTTTCCTTGCCTGTGATGGTTATCAATGGTTTTCATGTTTCTGGACTGAAAATGGACGTTTGCAGATACCTAGGAGACATTCCTACCTGGATCTTCTTAGGGAATGGAAAAGGGAAATAGCAGAATTCTAGGGGAGAAGATGAGCTGCCGGAGACTGAAGAAGTGGCTGGGGAGAGGGTGGTTAGGGGTTTTCTGCCCGTGCTTGATTGAGACGTAGGACCCTGTGGCACACAGCACCGTGGCCTGAGGAGCAGTAGCATAACCTCCCTCACCAACAGGTGTCCTGGAAAGGATGGAGCTTTCCGCCTTCAAATGAAACCTGGACTCGGATATTGAGCACCTCAGCAGCGGCTGTGATGGACTGAAGACTAGAGAAAGTTTGCATTTCCTGGGTCCTGGGTAAGCCACCTGCTTCCCATGTGCTTGAGACTGAGATGAAACTTTTATGCCAAATTAAACAGTGAAAGTTTGGAGCCAGATTTAAATCAATTTAAATATTTAAGTTTTATGATGTTTCTGATATGCTTACACTCAAGCATTTAAGAGTTATATGCTTCTTACACTCAAGCATTTGTTGGGCAAAAATGGAGCTATAAGCCTTGTAGAAATAGAGTATGACATAAGCAAGCCACAGACCCAGAAATGGACATGCTATGTTTGCAGGAGGGGAGCAGTCCAATGTGGCTGCAGGAGTGGGGATGTGGAGATGCCCTACAAATGAGGCTGGTAAGATGAGCTAATGAAGGGCCTTGACAACCAAGAATGGTTTATTTGATTTTGATTTTGAAGTAGTTTTAAGCTTACTGAAAAATTACAAGAATAATACAAGCTTTTTTTCTGAACCATTTGAGAGTAAGTTACTGACAGGAGGCCCCCTTGACCCCGTATACTTTAGTGTGTACTTCCTACAAATAAGGATATTCTCCTACATAATAACACAGCCATCAAAAATCAGGAAATTAACATGGATACATTACTACTGTCTAATCCACAGTCGCCATTCAAACTCCATCGACTATCCCTATGATGTCTTTTATAGTAAAAAGATCCTATTCAGAATAAAGTGTTTCATTTTGTTATCATGTCTCTTTAGTCAACTCTTATCTGGAAGAGCAGCTCAATCTTGTGCAGGCTTTCCTGGATTGACTCTTTTGAAAATAACGGTCCAATTATTTCGTAGAATGTTCTTAGTTGTGTTTTTTTCTCTTATTTCCTCATCATTAGATTCAAAACATACTTTTTGGGGGGTGGAAATACCAGAGAAGTGATGCTGGGATCTCACTGCATCCCATGAGGTGCTATGTGATTTTGATTTGTCCCGTTATGGGGGACGTCAACTTTGATCACTGGATTAATATGCTATCTGCCAGATTTCTCCACTATAAAGGTACTCCTTTTCCCCTTTCAATCAGTAAGTGTATTGTGAGGAGCTATTTGGGACTATGTAAATATCCCATTCCTCATCAAACTTTTATATGCTAGTTTTGGTACACATTGATGTTTCCTGGCTGAATTAATTATTACTATGATAATTGTCAAATTGTAATTTTTATATTTCCATTGTTCCTTCCGTAGTCATCAGTTGACATTCCATTGTAAGTAAAAGCTTTCTCTTCTATTCTTTTATTTACTCATTTATTTATTTATGTCAGTATGGGCTCATGGGTTGCTATTTTGTCCAGTGGATTATAGTCTTTTATCGTAACTTATTTTGAGGCTCACATTGTCCCAGATTTGGCCACTGAGGGTATCCTTTTGACCTGTCCCTGTCATTCTTTGACCACCTCCTTGCTTTCTGGCACAACAAAGCATTCCAGGCTCATTGGACCTATGCTTCCCAAGTTCTAGAATTAGTCATTTCTCCAAGGACCCCTGGCACCCTTTAGTGGAAAATGATATTCAGAAGACAAGATCTGGGATGTTGATGCTGCCAGGCCTTCTCATATATGACAGTGGTCCCGTAAAATTAGTACCATAAAGCCTGGGTGTGTAGTAGGCTACATCATCTGGGTTTGTGTGAGTACACTCTATGATGTTCGCACAAGGACGAAATCACCTAACGAGGTTTTTCTTGGCATGTATCCCCGTCGTTAAGTGATGCAAGACTGTATGTACATACTGTTTATTGTCTTTCTACCTATTTATGTACATTCATACAGCTTACCAACTGTATTTATTCCAGTATGTACAAAACATGAGTTCATGCCAGAATCTCCAATTCCAATTGAATACGATACGGTTTATTTTAGTTTTCTATCTTTCCATATTTATTAATTCCTTCCCCATCAGTAAGAAACCTGGCTCCTGTGATTCTAACTAATTGTACTCATTTGATCGATCTGTTTGTGAACAACCTTCCTTCACTGTGGCCACCTACCCCACCCCACCCCATGCAGGCTCCTTCCTCGCCCGCACTCGGCTCAAACCATCCATTCTGGCTGCTGCCACCTGCAGAAATGGTTTCCACACCCTGCTCAGGCTCTGACCCTCCCTAGAATGCTGCCGTGTCCCCTCCCCTATTAAGACCTACTGTCTTTTAGATTGAATTATGAAGGAAGGGAGGAAGGGAGGGAGGAAGGAGGAGAAAAAAGATGGAGACAAGCAGATAGCAGAGTTTGGGATCTTATTCTATAGGCAGTGAAGGGCTCCCCTTCCTTTCACACCCCCTGATACACACACACTCACACACACACACACACATCCCAGAATTGTATGGCTTGTTGTAGGGCACTCATTTAGTTTGGCAGCATGAAAGCAGATTGGAAGAAACGATGGTTGCAGTTAGGAAGGCAGTGATCCAGGACATAAATGACAAGGCCTAATGAGGAGATGGAGAGCCTGGGATAACAGTGCATCTGCTGTGCCTCCTCTGGGTACCCAGTGCATGAAGGACAGTCAGTAAAAGTGATATGCAGGGTCCAGCCTGGTGCTGTAGCGGTTGAGCTTGCATGCTCCACTTCAGCAGCCTGGGGTACACAGGTTCACATCCCGGGTGCTGACCTAGCACTATGCATCAAGCCATGCTGTGGCGGCATCTCACATATAATAGAGGAAGATTGGCACAGATGTTAGCTCAGGGCCAGTCTTCTTCAAGCAAAAAGAGGAAAACAGGCAACAGATGTTAGCTCAGGGCCAGTCTTCCTGTCACAAAAAAGATATACATTCTGCATTTCTGTATAGTTTCTTTGTGGGTCAAATAAATAGTAAAGCTACTTCCCAATGAAATCTGCATTTCTTGTGAGGAGCCAATTAGATCATGAGAATTTTCATAATTGATTATGGAAATGTGGGGTCTTTTTTCCTTTAACCCCTCAGGGACAGAAGCATTAATTTTTAGACTAAGAATAAACATCTGTAACATGTTCTATATAGTAAAGTAGAGCCGAACAGACAGGACCCTCCACCTTTCTATCTAGGTCAAATTCCTGGAAATACTGGAGGGTAAGGACTAGTAAAAGAAAAGAGATGATTAACCCTTTGTAGTGCAGGAGAAATGACTCGCTTCTGCAGATTAGGATAAAGCCGCAGGAGGCAGGTCACAGGCTTGAGTTTCACTATGTACTTTCTATGACTCAAATATCATATTACCTGTATGTGTGTTTGTGTCTCAGTTAGTCAATGCACTCTCTAGGGGCTGGGTCCATCACTCCATCACCTTTGTGTCCCCATCCAGGATTCCATAATTCCAGTGCACGGGAGATGTGGCATAAACATTTGCTGAATGAAATAAAATTCCCTGAAGTGCAAAAGCAGAGAAGGAATTGTAGCCAATCTACTAAAAATGACTTTAGAGCTCTGTAATCGTTAGCACGACTAAAAAATCCTTAGAAGAACACTTCTTTTTATTAATCTTCTTGTAGCACTGTTCCTTGGCAGTGAGTTGTCGACAAATATGTTTTTAATTTGATTAAGCAGATTTTATCCAGAGGAATCTCTTGGCCAAATGCCTAGAAATCCCGAGCCTGCACTAATGATGGTCATAAAGGAGGGCTTGCACAGAAACATTTGAAGGTGAAGGACAGTCAAATGCATATCACAGGGGCAATAAAAATATTCAAAGGGCACACAAAGTCCTTTCACATTTTTTATGATGCTTGGTTAAAATGCAAGTAATGGTTAAAAATTACAGGAATTGTGAAATATTTAGCAGGTGGGTGTTAAAACTGAGAAAACTGGCAAAAGCAAGGAAGGCAGTGTGCTGTTAAGTTACAGCTCGACAGTCCACGTTTCACCAGTGCTTAAAAGCAAAAAAAGAAAGGATGCTGTGCTTTATAATTATCCAGTTTGGTTGATACTATAAACACTCAAACTGTGTAAAGTTCAACAATGATTTTGTTTTCCAGTTGAAATTATTATGTTCAGAGTCTACACAGGCTAAAGTAAACAGTTTTGGATTCTTTTCTTTGTTGTGTTGAGATCCAACTAAGAATTATGTGGGCACATATAGTATGATAAATACAACAAAAAATACTGAAGACGCTAGAGTATTTCACCAACATTTGGCTCCTTAAAAACTCTTTTTCTTTTTGGATTAGAAAAGTCATGAAGAGTCATTGTAGAAATTTGGAAAATTCAGAAAAGTGGAGAAGAAAAGGAACAACCAGCAGTTGTTGCATTCTGATCGAACTCAACATCATCTTTCTTTCATCTGGATAATCGTCACAGCTTTCTGACTGGTTCCCCCGCTTTGAGCTCTACTTATCCCAGCAGCCGGGGGATCCTGCTTTTAAAACGTTCATCAGCTCAAAAGCTCCAGTCTTCCCCACGTCACCCGGAATAAAAGCCAAAGTACTGACAGTGACTGTGAAACCCCATGTGCACCCTCCAACCCCCTACTGCTTTCTTACTGCTCTGTAATCATGCCAGGTGTGCTCTTGCTTCTCGACCCTTCTGCCTGGAGCTCTCTGGTCCTAAACATGTGCAATGCTCCTCCCTCAGCCGTTTCTAGTCTTCTCTCAAATGTCGTCTTCTCAGTGAGGGCTTCCGTAACTGCCTCTGTAAACCACGTGTCTTGCTACATCCCTGCCCCCCATCTCTGCTATCCCATTGTCCCCATGCAGCGTACCGTATGGTTTCCTTATTTTGTGTGTTATCTGTCTTTTGCTGCTAGAATGTAAGTTCCATCAAGGCAGAGGTTTTTATCTGGTTTTGCTCGCTGCTATATTTGTTTTCTAATACATAATAAATCACCCCAATGTTTAGTTACTCAAAACAGCAATCATCATTTATTATCTCATGATTTCAGTGGGTATGGAATTCAGGAGGGGCTTGGCCTGATGGTCCTGGGTCAGGGTCTTTCACGAGGTTTCGGTTAGATGTTGGCTGGGGCTGCAGTTAGTTGAAGGCTCAACTGGGGCTGGGGGATCTGCTTGCAAAGCATCTCCCTTGCATGCCTGCAGGTTGGTGCTGGCCACTGAGCATCCTTGTGACGTGGAAGCTGGCTACTCCCAGACTGAGTGATCCAAGAGAGCAAGGGAGAAACTGCAATGTCTTTTATGACCTAGACTCAGAGGTCACACACTGGGGCCCGCCCCATGGTTGAGTGGTTAAGTTCACGCACTCTGCTTTGGCAGCCCAGGGTTCACCAGTTCAGATCCTGGGCACAGACCTATGTACTGCTCATTAGTCCATGTTGTGGCAACATCCCACATAGGAGAACTAGAAGGACCCACAGCTAGGATATACAACTATGTACTGGGGCTTTGGGGAGGAAAAGAAAGAGGAAGATTGGCAACAGATGTTAGCTCAGGGCCAATCTTCCTCGCCAAAAAGCATTAAGAAAAGAGTATTATAAAAAAAAAAAAAGAAGTCACACACTATTGCTTCCACTGTATTTTATTAATCACACATGCTAGTCCTTTTCAGTGAGGAAAGAGACTACAGACGGAGTTGAATACCAGCAGGCAAGGGGCACTGAAGACTATCTCAGAAGCTGGCTAGTGCAGCTGTGATGCCCCATGTGCCTGAAAGAGTGCCTGGTGCATAAAGAGAACCCAATAAATATTTCTGAACAATGAATAAATTCCACCACTCAGATCTTTAAAAATAAATTTCTTGCACCCTTTTTCTCCTAAGTAAATATACTGTGTTGTTTATTAAAAATTGGAATTTCTGTTTAGATAAAAATTTATAATCTATAAATATAAACAAAAATACTTGTTAAAAAGTATATTTAAAAACATGATATTTGATATCTTTCTAAAACTACATCTTTTTGTGTGTGTTTGTATGAGGAAGATTGGCCCTGAGCTAACATCTGTTGCCAATTCTCCTCTTTTTGCTTGAGGAAGATAGTTGCTGAGCTAACATCTGTGCCCATCTTCCTCTATTTTATGTGGGACACCTCCACAGCATGGCTGACGAGAGGTGCTAGGTCCACACCCAAGATCCAAACCTGCAAACCCTGGGCTGCCAAAGGGGAGCACGTGAAACACGCTACCAGGCTGGCCCCCCAAGTTACATCTTTTTTATATAAAATAAGTTATTTCAATCTCTTATCATTAGCATTTCTGTTGTTTTTAGATTTTTTCCTGTTATAAATACATCATGATGAACATCCTTGCACATGAATCTTTGAGTGGATCTCCTAATATTTTCTTGGGGAGCATGCCTAGGAGTAAGATGTAAGGGTATGAACACTTAAAATACTTGATTTAAATTACCAAATTGTTTCCAGAAAGATCAGAAAATGTAAGATATCTTACATTGCTACCAACAGTCTATGAGACTGCTTATTTCATCAAATCTTTATTAATATGGAGTGTTGATATTTTTTAAGAAGCTGGAATTTTGATTAGGAAGAAATAGCCTAAAGACCTTTCAAAAACTGTACATCTTTAGAATTTAGTTTTAGTTTTTTTGTTCAGTTTTTTGTGTTTAGTTTTGTTTGCTTATAGTATAGTTTTCGTTTTTTTGTCATATTAACTGATTGTTTAGGAGTTAAAGTAGACAAAATTTAGAGGTGAGAGGAGAAAGAGAACAGGAATCAATATGATTATTAAATTTCTGATTTGTGCAACTGGGTGGGTGGTGGTGCCACTTCATGAGATAGAGAAAACGGTGGAAGGGAAATTGGGATGAAGAGAAAAAAATAATTCCGTTTTAGATCCTTACCTTGCAGCAATGGGATACAATTCGGTGGATCTGGAGCTGTGCTGCCCAATACAGCAGCCACCAGCCATACATGGCCATCAGTCACTTGTCATGGGGCCAGACTGAATGGAGATATTCTGTAAGAGTATGATATACACCAGATTTAGAAGACTTGGTAAGAAAAAAACACTGTAAAAGATATAATTGTGTCAGTTAAGTTTCAACCAGGAGACAGAAATCATACAATATTTTGAACAGGGTAAATTTACGGTAAAGAATTATTATTATAACAGGGAATAAGATGTTAAAGAAGCTCTAAAGGATGCCCTTAGGCTAAGGGAGAGTTTCCAAGGAGGGAAGAAGTGGAAATTGGCCTCCTCTTCAAGGCTGGGATTCAGACCGCTGGAGAAGGTGTGGTTGCAGCCCAGTGGATGGCAGAGAAGTTCAGGGGGTGGCCCAGGTCAGAGCTGGTCCACAGTTGCATACAAGCAGGAGACACCCCTCCAGGGTGCAGTGGGCTAGTCTGGCATGCAGCTGTGCAGAGGGACTCAGCATCAGGAACCGACTCTCTGGAGGGGTGATGCACAACCTAGAGTGCAGTGTCCGTGTCAGGAGCACCATGGGAGACACTATCCATGGTGCAGGCCGCCCGAGGCTGCTGGGCAGCTGTGTGGAGGGAGTGGGGCATCCGCTTGCTGGCGGGATGGCATAAGAGCTGGGGCGTGCAGTGGCTGCCGCGGGAAGCGCAATGAGGTGGCCACTGGGCTGGGGTGGGGCTGTGAGCTGGCTGAGGGACTGCACACTCTTGAGGTGAGGTTGGGCATGTCCACCCACACATGTCCCCGCTAGCAGCCCAGCAGGAGCAAGAAGAAGATGAAAAATGCACCACATGAGAACCGGGAAACCAGTCTCCCTCCTGCAGTGTCTGTCGACTGAATAAAGGTTAGCACTGTGCTGGCTGCACAGAAGAGATTCGCAAAGCTCCATTATCATGGAGCAGGTAATGCATGGTGAGTTTAGAGCTGAGAGATAACAAATTGATCACTGGCATGCTCCTTAATATTTTTATTGTTGATTTATATTGAAATAGTGATATTTTGGATATATTGAGTTAAAAAGGATGTATCGTTAAAACAAATTTCACTTTTTTTGTAGACTTTTTAAAATTGAGCTCATAAGAGTTTCCATCGTTGTGAAATTTCAGTTGTACATTATTTCTTGTCCATCACCATATACGTGCTCCCCTTCACCCCTGTGCCCACCCCCTCACCCCTTCCCCTGGTAACCACTGAACTGTTGTCTTCGTCCATGTGTTTGTTTATATTCCACGTGTGAGTGAAATCATCTGGTGTTTGTCTTTCTCAGTCGGGCTTATTTCTCTTAACATAATTCCCTCCAGATCCATCCATGTTGTTGCAAATGGGATGACTTTGTCTTTTTTATGGCTGAGTAGTATTCCATTGTGTGTATATATATATATATATATATATATATATACACATATATATACACACACCACATCTTCTTTATCCAGTCATCAGTCGATGGGCACTAGGGTTGCTTCCACGTCTTGGCTGTTGTGAATAATGCTGCAATGAACATAGGGGTGCATATGTTACTTTGGATTGTTGATTTTAAGTTGTTTGGGTATCACTTTTCTTTTTGTACTTTTTTTTAAGGTAATTAGTTGAAAATTTAAAGTTACATATATGGCTTGCATTTGTGACTCACATTAGGTTTCTCTTGGATAGTGCTGGAAGAGATGTCTAAGCTGGGTAGATTATGTCCATAGAAATTGATGGAATTACCTAGTAGAAAGTCCCAAACTCCTGAGATTTGAAGGTTGGTGTGATGGTTCATTTTATGTGTCAACTTCACTGGGCCATGGGATGCTCAGATACCTGGTCAAACATTATCCTGGGTGTTTCCGTAAGGGTGTTTTCGAGTGAAATTAGCATTTAAATCAGTAGACTGAATGAAGCATGATGCCCTCCTTAATGTGGGTGGGCCTCATTCAATCACTTGAAGGCCTGAATAGAATAAAAAGGCTGACCTTCTCCTGAGTAAGACAGAACTCCTTCTGCCTGACTGCCTTTGAACTGGGACATTAGCTTTTTCCTGCCATCAGACTCAAACTGAAACATTGGCTCTTCCTGAATCTTGAGCCTGCCAGCCTTCAGACTGGCACTACACCATTGGCTCTCTGGAGTCTCCAGCTTGCCAACTCATCCTGCAGATCTTGGAACCTGTCAATTTCCATAATCATGGGAGCCAAATCCTTATAATAAATCTCTTTTATATATGTAGAGAGAGAATACATAAATATATATTTAAATTTATAAATACACAAACACACACACAGTGTGTGGTTCTGTTTCTCTGGAGAAACCTTACTATTACAATTGTATATAGAAAGAAGAACCCCATGGGTACTGGGGAGGATGGGTGGGTAGCAAGTGGGAGCTGTACACATGTTCAGGGAGGGACTTTCCCTCTGACAGAAGGAAATTCTAGAACATGTTGGTATACCGATGGCAATGATAAAGACGGAGTAGAGTTGGTGATGTGGGTTATACAGGATACAATGGTCTGAGTTTGGAGGGAGTGGGAGGGTTTGCTGGTGTGCAGGGCTAGCGCATCCAGCCCTCAGTGGTGAAATGGTAGAGAATTTCCTAGAGTGAGGCTATATCAAGTCTTGCTTGGTGGGGAGATGGGGATATGGGTATTACTCTTGAGAGAACAGATTGTCCTTTCCTAGAGGACAGAAGAGGGTAGATAAATCTTATAAGTGCTGATGACAGAAGGCCTGTTAGCAACCCTAATTATTCTGTCGTTATATTTCAAAGAGTTGACAGCAATAAAGTGACATTGACTTATTCATTCCAAGCCAATGAACAATTAACTAAATTCTTTGACAGCTGAATTATTGTGGCCTAAATTATCTGGACTTTTCAACACTGATCTGATGCCTATACAGCTTCATTTTCTTTTAAATAATCTTAGCTCCCTCCTTTTCTCTTTCGCACTTTATCTACTTTTATAATATGCTCAGATAAGAAATAAAACACTATAAAATAGAGTGTGGATAAATTTCTATTAGAAAAGAGTATGAGATTAAAC